CCCCAGCTGGGGGCAGTGCCTGGGGCATGTCCAGAGTGTGGGGGACCAGCTTAAGGGTCAGGGGGAGGGTGTTGTGCTGGTCTCATCCGTCTTTTTCTCCTCCTCTTCCTCGTCTCTGTCCCCCGGGAGGATGACGACAGGCATCTAAAGTTCCACATCCACTACCAGGAGAGGGAGGGAAGTGAAGGGAGTTCCCTGCCCCCCAGGATGCAGTCCAGGTCATCATAATAGGGGCAGGTGTGGGCTTCTGCCCTGGAGTGATAGCCTGGCAGAGCTCTTTGACTTTCATCCGCACCTGCTTCTGGGTGCAGCTGCATCCTTTGGTGAACAGGTTCTTGACCATCTGGGCATAGACATCTGTGTTCCTGCATCTGGTGCAGAGATCCTGAGGGTTTGCTTCCTTACTCCAGACCTCAGTGAGGTCCAGGGTCTCTGCACCAGACCAGGAAGGTGCATGCCTTTTTTGGGTCCTGGCAGGCTCCTGAGAGCTGCCTGACTACTCCTTGGGAGCAGTGGAGGACAAGCTGGGAGCAGCAGATTGGCTCATTTTTCAAAAAATCAAGGCAGTGGCAGCTGCTGTTGGCTCAGTGCTGTCAGGGCCTCCTGTCTGCCACAAGCCCTTTCCCCTGAGGCTACAGCTTTAAGGGCTCCAGGGGAAGGGAGGACTACAGAGTTTGGCCGTGTGTGGACAGAGCGGCCAGTAGGGCACCATGGGAAGGGCTGGAGGCCCCTTATTTCAAAATAACTGCAGCCGCCCTATCTACACAGCCCCTATTTCCAAAGAGTTATTTCAGAGGAGGCATTATTCCTCATAGAATGAGGTTTACCAATGCCAAAATAAGCCGCCCGTTATTTCAAAATTATTTTGAAATAACATTATTGCTGTGTAGATGCTCACGTAGTTATTTCAGAATAAATGTCTAGAGAACATGACCCATGAGGGAAGGCTGAAAGAACTGGGCTTGTTTAGTTTAGAAAAGGGAAGACTGAGGGGAAACATGATAGCTGTTTGCAAGTATCTGAAAGGGTATAACAAGAAGGAGGGAGAAAAATTGTTCTCCTTAACCTCTAATGATGGGACAAGAAGCATTGGGCTTAAATTGAAGGAAGGGAGGTTTAGGTTGGACATTAGGAAAAACTTCCTAACTGTCAGGGTGGTTTAAAAACTGGAATAAATTGCCTGGGGGATGGTAGAATCTCCATCACTGGAGATATTTAAGAGCAGATTAGACAGACACCTGTCAAAGATGGTAGATGGTTCTTGGTCTTGCAATGGGGGCAGGGGACTGGACTCAATGACCTCTCAAGATGCTTTCCAGTTGTAGTATTTTATGATTCAGAAACTTTAGAGAGGTTTTACTTTGTGACTAGTGTCTGTATTTAGTGAGTTCAAGCCAGCACTAACTTAGGGAGGACCCAAACCTCCATTAAGCTTATTGGGATTTCTATGCATGGTATTTTTTCAAGATCTTTGTTGTAAGATGAAACTTAACAATTTTTCTGGTAGCGGTGGGAAATAGACATAAAACTGAATTCCTTCTAAAACAGTGCACTCTTAGTACGTATGTAAAGATCCTTATATCTCACCAAAAAAAGTCTGACTAATCATTCACAATCATCTAATTATGTTGTTTGGGGCTTTTTTAAAGCACACTGCCTGGTACAGTTATTTATAAACATATAACTCTGAAAGTCAAATGGAACTTGGTAAATAAATCAATATCACCTGGACTGAAAACTCAGTGGGTTTTTTTGTCCCATGTTATTAATCCCTTAATTAGGCAGTGTTCTATAAAATAGTGTATTAAAATAAATAATTTTGGGAGGTTATAGTGGGGGAGCAGAGGGGATGAAGTTTTAAAGATACAAGAAAGCTACCGAGACTTTCTGCCTTTTAAATTTTCGTATACTTGCTTTTTTCCATAATGAAATTGACCAAATGTGGGCTCTTCAGCAGTCTAACACTTTTGCATAATTGCATGTCTGCCTGTGCAGTGCACTACTGTGCTATTGGACAAATGTTCTTTCACTTCATAGGATGAATTGACAACTACCAAAAGAAGCTATGAAGATCAGCTAAGCATGATGAGTGACCATCTGTGCAGCATGAATGAAACCTTATCTAAACAAAGGGAAGAAATTGATACACTGAAAATGAGTAAGGTAGGTTACCAAACACTGTATTTACTTTGGGCATGGTCTTGGGTTTTTGCAAACTGCAGTGCTCCAAACAGTGGCAAGTAGAGTGCAAACTTACTAGCTCGTTTTTATTCTCAGCCAATTGGCATGAAAACCTCAAGCCCCATCCTTACTGGTCCAGGTAAGTGAGAGTTTTGGAACCTAACTTGGAATCTGGAAATGACCAGTGATCATGTCCTATGTCTATGTCTTTCCCTGACTCTAACTATAGAGAACTTGTATCCTCCCCATACCAGATGAGACTTTCAAATGGAGCTTGTTATAAGAGCAGTGCTATTTTTTCAGCTACCTAAAAATAAAGCATACTGCTAGAAAATGCATGAAGAGGGATGGTCAGGAAGGTGAAGGAGCTTGAAGAGTCATACACTCAGGGTACGTCAGGGTAGATTAGGCTATCCGGCATAGGAAAATGAAATGGCGATTTAAATAATCGCCACTTCATTTAAATTTAAACGGCTGCTGCGCTGAGCTGATCAGCTGTTTGTTGGCTCAGCGCGGTAGTCTGGACGCTCCGCAGTCGACATCAAAGGCATTTGTCGACCTCCCAGGTATGCCTCCTGGGATGAGGTTTACCTGGGAGGTCGACAAATGCCTTTGATGTCGACTGCGGAGCGTCCAGACTACCGCGCTGAGCCGACAAACAGCTGATCGGCTCAGTGTGGCAGCCATTTAAATTTAAATTGCCGCTTCATTTTCCTAGGCCGGGTAGCCTAATCTACATGCCTCTGTTGACAGAGGCATGTAGTCTAGAAGTACCCTAAGTCAGGGGTGGCCAACCTGTGGCTCTTGAGCCACATGCAGCTCTTTGCTCACAGAAATGTGGCTCTTAGGGTTGCAGCTCGTTCGGAGCCGAATGCCTGTTTGTGCACATGCCCCAGTGCCTAGAGGGAGAAGTGTGTGGCTGTGGCTGTGGCTGTTGCAGCTCCAGTGAGAGAGGAATTGGGTTAGAATGAGAGGGGCCTGGGGTTGCCTGGTTCTGGGGAAGGGACAGGGCATTGGCATTGGGGTAAGAGTGTGGGGGCTGGAGGTACCTGGCTCTGGGGGAGGGGGAGAGCATTGGGTTAGAGTGGGGAGGGACTGGGGGTGCCTGGCTCTGAAGGAGGGATGTGTGGCTCTTTGCACTACTATCCACAGCTCTTTTGGCTCTTAGTGTCTATGTCTAACTAGTTGGCCAACCCTGCACTCAGTATTCTTTGGTGGATATTCTTTATGATCACTTCAATATATTGTGTTCAAAGCTTCTTTTCTTTCTCTCATTCCAATGATCCAGCAGGAAAGTTAGCTGCTCTTGTATGGCATTCATTTCACACATTATATTTCTTCCAAATGAAACTCAGAAGACAGTTTCTTGCATTTCCATATAAAGTTCTCGGAATGTTTTCTTTCAGTCACTAAAACTCCATGCAAACGTAGTGTTAGATGGAAGTCAGTTAGTATAGCAATGCAAGAAGTCTTTACTTATTTATCAGTGGAATTAATCTCCTCCTGACCCACTTTGTTTTTTTTAGCAATGCAGATTAAAAAATACATTCCCTATTCAGAGTGTAGTTATTCAGGGAGTGGTCGGGATTTACTGCCGAGGTGTCCTATGGCATCCACATCATTGATGATGATGATGATGATGATAACCAGAAGGTGGTTTGAATGTGTACTCAGTGATGTGTGCCATGTTGACTTGTACACTTAGTCTCCACAGCAGACCCCAAGAGAGCCCCCCCAAAGACCACAAACCAGATAAGGATTGAAGGTGCCAAGCCAGGCTTATTGCTAAGTGAAGTTGTCAGTAGACTCTACTGAACCATTATGTATGTGTACCCCGTAGCAATGGAATGACTCAATCAGTGGGAAATTTCCACCGCCCCCTAGGTCATCCGAAGACTGTCCCTCCAAGACACCACTTTATATATACAGGTACAAACAAGTCACACCTAACCGCTGACGTTGTCAAGTTACCACCCTCTGATGCTACTTAGATACCACCCATTACTCTGTACCTCGTGGTTTGATTAGATCATCTCTATCCATCATGCTGTCATTTTAGACCCCTTCTTGAACTTGGGTCTGTATCTGTGGGGAGTGTACACCAAGGTCTTTTTTAATGATCTGGTGGTACCATGTGATTTCAACTTATGACCAGTACCAATTATTGCTCTGCAGTCAATACCTAGCACCAGTTAGTGTTTTGCACACTCAGCCCTGTTTATGCCAGGTTCTGTGAGCTGGGGCCTGCGTCTTGCTCATAGTTTAGCTTTGCTTTGTTAGCCATGTTTTGTCCATTGTTAGCTAGACCTCAGGCCTCAGACCAGGTCTTTGCTGTGTCAGTAGACTCTACTGAACCATTATGTATGTGTACCCCGTAGCAATGGAATGACTCAATCAGTGGGAAATTTCCACCGCCCCCTAGGTCATCCGAAGACTGTCCCTCCAAGACACCACTTTATATATACAGGTACAAACAAGTCACACCTAACCGCTGACGTTGTCAAGTTACCACCCTCTGATGCTACTTAGATACCACCCATTACTCTGTACCTCGTGGTTTGATTAGATCATCTCTATCCATCATGCTGTCATTTTAGACCCCTTCTTGAACTTGGGTCTGTATCTGTGGGGAGTGTACACCAAGGTCTTTTTTAATGATCTGGTGGTACCATGTGATTTCAACTTATGACCAGTACCAATTATTGCTCTGCAGTCAATACCTAGCACCAGTTAGTGTTTTGCACACTCAGCCCTGTTTATGCCAGGTTCTGTGAGCTGGGGCCTGCGTCTTGCTCATAGTTTAGCTTTGCTTTGTTAGCCATGTTTTGTCCATTGTTAGCTAGACCTCAGGCCTCAGACCAGGTCTTTGCTGCATGGGCTTATGTTTTAAGCCTTCATCTTGCTACACAGAGCAGTTGGTGATTGATCCCAGAGATGCATCATTGGTGCTGTGGAGACCTTGCCTTTGGCTATATCAGCCAGTTAATTTTAGCATTTAAAGTATAGAATTAACGGAGACCACTTACGATATTTGTGGAACTCCTGGAGCGTTATCTTGAGAACTAAGGAGTCATCTTAGAGTGATGTCATAGTGGATGCTCCACTTTAGGTGGTGGTGTGCTCCTGAGCTCATAGCCAGAGATTTAAGGTGGCAGTGCCCAATTGGGCTGTACACCATGTATCATGCTGTCTCAGGTGATTAATTGACACTGTACAGCCTCCCCCCCACACACACTTCCTTCTCTATTGCCCTTTGCCCCAGTTGAAGTATTCAGTAGCACCTTGCAGCTACTTCTATTCTTCTTGCCCCCCTCCCCCTTGTTTACCTGTAGTTAGTAGTCCTCATTGAAATAGTGTCCCTTTCCTGGTCTCCCAAAAAAACCCGCAACCATCTTTCCTTATAGGGATTGTCTCATTTATCCCAAAACTGCAGCAGCTGCACAACCGAATCTCTCTCCACACAACTGAGAGTACTCTCCTTCTGGGCATGCTTCCCTCCCCCAGCTTTAAACACCTACCAGCTATTCAATACCCCTCTGACAGCCACTTGCAGTGCATCAAGTGTCTCTTTGAGGGACTTGTACAACAAAAGTGCCAAAACACAAAACACTGTCACAACTTCAGAGCACACATTAGAAAAGCAAGAGATTCACATCTGCAACTTCTCCTCATGGAGAAATCTTTTTTCCCAGTGTCTGAGCCAGCGGTATGAACCCCTCCTGGCCAGAAATTGCCTATGGCCGTATCAGACAAAGGTACCTCTAAGGGCAAAGTAGCCTGACCAAACTGCCAGGAAGGCAGCAGAGGCAAGAGATTATATCCCTAATCTTGGAGTCCTCTAAGAAAAAGCACACTGATACTGGCCAAACACTCCCAGTACCCACAGCAACTGCTGTATAAACAACAGCTGATGCACCAGGTCCCTCCGGTACCATGATACTGAAAAGCATAGAGTGAGTCTGTCACAAGAGCTAAGAAAGTGAAACCCTGTGCCTCAGCATCTAAAATAGCCAGTAAACCCTTGGCACTGAGCATATCTGCACTCCTGCTGCCACCTACTGTTGGCACTATGAACTCCAGCCAGATGCCCATGCGCACGTTGCAGCACACTGTACCATGCTGTTCTGTCGCACCAGTACCAAGCTCAGCCACATCACATCAACTCTTGCACCACAGAGACTTATCTGTCCCCAATACCTGTCTCCCTGCCTCAGTCCTGATGGTGCCTCCATACACAGGGCTTTTGCACAGCCCGGCTCTCCACGGTTGTCAATATACCACTATAGTAGGGAGGATGAGAGAGAAGAGGACATGATAGGCTTGCCTCAGCAGTCTTCTCCTGTCATTAATCCTGCCATGCAGGCATCACTAGCCACTGGCTTTTCCAGAAACTTTGCAACCTAACCCTGGTTCAGCCAATCATGGATGCTTCCTGTGCCATTCCAGTCACAATGGCCATTCTGGCAACCATGCCCCCAACACTCTGCCTGCAGTTGCTTCCCTTACAAGCACCCACTGGTGCCTCCAGACAGGAGGAATTCTTGGATGTAACTGTCACTTATCTTTCCTGTTCCTCCCCAGGTGTAGCAATTATACTTCCACCTTCACCATGATAGAGAATTTCAAGCAGTTTCAGGAACTCTTCAAGAGAGTGGCAGCTTCTCTGGAAGAGGTCCAGGAATTGTGCCATAAGAGAGAGGACATACTACCTCCACTTCATCCAAAATCGCCTTCCCATTACTGAGGCAATTATGGACCCTGCCAGATTACGCTGGCAAACCCCAGCTATGATTCCACATTCCTGTAAAAGACCCAATAAGAAATATTATGTACCAACCAAAGGCACTGAATTTCTATTCTTACATCCAATGCCAAATTCCTTGCTTATCGAGGCAATAAATGAAAGAGGAAAGAAACAGTACTACAGGTATACCCCATATGACAAAGAATAGTTGCAAAGCATACTCAACTGCAACATTAAA